TACACTTGATGGAGCACATTTGTATTGCCAGTTAACTGGTTAGTCAGTCTCTCGCCAACCTTCCAAGCTGAAACATCAGCTTCAACTGATTTTTAACCAATTTACCCTAGTTAAGAACATTTGTATATTTTCACCTTTTTTATTAGATTTATGAATTTTTCTTAAGGTTTTACACCTAATCTATTTTTTTCCCTGTTCCCTTTCTGTTCTCTCTCTGTTCTTTGCTTTTTCTTCCTCATCTCTTGTATTTCTTCAACTTAAACCTCTATTTCTTCTTCTTTCCTTTCTTCAGGCTATTTCTCCTTCTGGTTATTTTCTACCCTTACAGTTTTTGCACCGTAGATTCTTCAAATTCTATCGTATCCTATACAGTGTTATTAAGCTAGATGGTCCCACATGAGATCATTAATCTATTGGGATGAAATAATCACGAAAATGGTGAACTACATTTTGATGGACCAGTTTTGCACTGACCTGAATTTAAGCTGCTTTACTGGTTTGAGGTTTACATTTTAAATTCAAACCAGTACAATCAATCTAAGAGTTCTTTTAAAGATAAATGGGGCACTAGAGGGACAGAAAAGAATTATTTTATGTTTCACTTTGGTGAATTTTTATTTGTGGCATTTTTTTTGAATGTTTTGTAGCTCTTCTTGTTGGAGACTGTTTTGCTGTATCAGTCGTTTGTGCTTTGTACCGGGTTTTCTTTTTGTGAAATTTTCATTCTTGTAAAGTAATACTATTAGCATGTGCATTAAAGCAAAAAATAAAAGAGAAGTAAAGAAAGGACATCTCATCCTCCGTGTTTGGTTGGAGATTTCTTTTTCCTCTCCTCTTTTGTGCTTAGTTGGTTTGTATTCACATTCCTGAATGGATTGAAAACGATGTGGTTCATGTTTGACACTTGAATGTGGTTTATCTCTGTAATAATTATATCTTCTGCTGGATTTTGCTATTTTCCATGGTTTTTCCTGAAAATAAACTTTGGTTTCTCCAAAACTATTCTTGCTGACATGATGCTTCTCACCTCTTTTCATTACAGATCCACGTGATGACCTCGGTGGGATGGATGTTGCTAGAAAGGTTTGGATGTATACACATGCAGAAACACATGCACAGCACGGGCACGTGCCTGTTGGCAATCCTCATGCATGCAGGCTAAGGCTAACTATTTGATAATATACAATATATCTACGATACACCTAAGGCTAACTATTTGATAATATACAAGATATCTATGATACACTTGCATGATTATGTTTTGCCTTTTCCTTCGATAGATAATCGTTAAACCTTGTGACTGTGGAGGATTCATTTACCTGATGAACTTTCTTAATTTGCATTAATTGGAGAAATTAATATTTATGCATGACATTTTTTGGCTGGTATAGTATGGGAATTGACATGTCTCTATCATCTAATAAATATTGTTCCTTGATCTATTACTCTATTTGTCCTCATACTTAGTCGCATCTATGGGTAGATGTACAGTTGTGTTCTGTTACAAGGCTAATTAAGAGTGATGAATGGTCTTATGATCTTACAGATTTAACATTTTGCATTGTTTTTATGTTGTTTCTTAATCTTTCTGAACATAAACTTGCTTATAATTTTTTTGCAATGTTCTTGTTTTGTTTGTTGATCTTTCTGGATATTTACAGGCTTTGATCCTTGCTCGACTTCTTGGGAGGAAGATCAACTTGGATACCATAGAGGTCAGTGCTAGATCCTGCATTTCCAGTATTATATTTGTTTAAATAAATACACTACAACGACAATCCTCAGTTAACTTTTGAACTCATGCACTGGAAAATTCACCAATTACCCGGAGATCTGGACACCTCAACTGGTGTTAGTTATTTCTGTCATATAGGTAGAGAGCTTGTATCCTAAGGAAATGGGACCTGATGCAATGTCTGTTGAAGACTTCCTTGGCGGCAGGATTGCACTGCTTGACAAGGATATCCATGGGAGGGTTGGAAAGGCTTCATTGAATGGGAATGTGCTTCGTTATGTTTTTGTCATTGAGGGATCAAGGTATTCATCTCATTATTTTGAAACAAGATCGAAATGTTGACGTGTGTATATAATGTTTACATGCCTAGTGAGTAAATTCATTCTTGTGGTAGATATGCAATTTATATCACTCTTGCATTTTTTTAATCCTCCATCTCTTATTTTGTCATGAAACTGTTATTGGTGCAACAAGAATGGATTTTGGGTTCTCTTTCTTTTCTGGGTGTATAAAATACTCTTCAGGCTGAATGATATCCAATTCTACAACCTGTTTAAGTTAACAAATAGCTTACTAGGGATATAAATCTTCGAGAGATGCATGGATATAAATTTGTCACATCATAGTTACTTCAAAAGTGTATCACGTCATGGTGTATAAAAATTCTGTTTGTACGGTGTTATACCACTGAAAATAGAGATGCTTGCATGTATTTTATGGAATTTTTTAATTGTTACCATCTGGGTTGCACTTGGGAAATTCAAACATTTCAATGATTCTAACATAATAATGTCAGAGATGCTGTTTCTTTAATTAAGGTTCCCCATCTAACAATTTTCTTTTCACTCAAGAACGATATCTAAATCTCTGCCTGCCACATAAACGCAAATTGGAATAACAATTGGTCATTTTCTCCTTGCAGATTATGATCATGTTTTGTGATCCTGATCTGTGTGATAATTTTTTGTTGTTGATGCTGTAGAGATAGGATGAAAAATCCACCCAAGATAGCTGTAGAGGTAAAGAGAAGAGAGAGACCAGAACTAGCAGAAATAGCTGCAAGTTCACAAGATAGCAAAAACACCCAATAACAAGAGAAACAACTTTACACGCTCATCGAGAAGATAGAGCAGTAGTAAATAAAACATGAATGAAATGCACAATCTCGTAATCCTTATTGAACTCCACAATTTTATAAAATTTCCTATTGAGCTGTATATATACATTACTGTTGATCTTTTTATAGATTGAGAGTATCCCTTGATATGGGACCACTACATTTTACATGCTTTGGGTTCTGCACCTGGTGGACGATATGTTATTTTATTTTTCAGATGTGAGGTTGGCATTCAAGAGGTCCCTAAAAATTCTCCTTTGGGAAGATTGAGAGGAAGTGATAATCTTGTAAGCTCCCTTCTTTCTTTATCTCTTTGTCTAATGTTTATATTTTTGCATAATGCAACTATTAGCATACCTAAGATGATTATTGCAACGTAAAAATTGATATCAAAGTTCATTCTTTAAGAAATCAAGAGGTACTTGACTCGTGATTATTTAAGAACATGCACTTGAATTGTGTTGATAGTTTTAGGGCATCGAATGAGCTGCAATGACTTAGGACATCCTAACCCAAAGACAGTGCACTTTGACAAGACAAACAGGCTTGAAGCTCTGTTTATATTGGAAAGATTTCTAGTTTAAACATCCCATCAGTTGGACCATTTGGTTGAAATAAAGGTATCGAATAGCAATAACAAGGGAAAATGAACAGGAGACATTTATAGCTATATAGACTTTTGATATTAGTTATATTTGGTCTGTGGTGGTTTGCAATTTGTTATCATTTAGGATGCTAGTTGGCAACATGTTAGGAAATGCCAATTGGGACAAATTTCCATGCATTAACACAATGGGACCCCGTATCTCCTTCAACTTTACTGTATTTAATTTATTAATGATGGAATATGCCTGTTAGATCTAAATTTCTTGTATGTATTTTGAGTAACAAACAGTTCACTTTCCTAACCTTGTCATATTTCAAGGCTGCCTTTGGGGGAGGGTGAGAGAAAGGAATGAAAAATTTGAGATGCATTATTCTTAATTTTGTTTCGATGGCCATCCATTAACCAAAAGTAAAGGTTACGAAGGTGAACATTTCACCCAACTTCCCCTGCAACGAGGTTACAATGCATGCGACTTTATTCTTAAACTCGGGTTTCTTCATTTATTCTTTATGTGATTTTTAGTGAAGTTAATAGATGTAAACGATAAACTTACCCATTATATTCTTTTTTAACGTTAATGCAGCTCGAAGTGTACAGTCGTTGTTATAAAGATCAGCCATTAGTTATTCAAGGCGCTGGAGCCGGGAACGATACTACGGCAGCCGGTGTTCTTGCAGATATTATTGACATTCAGGATTTATTTCCATGAAAGAGGCCTTGGAGTCCTTTTTGGTAAACCATGGTGGTGTTCTTTCCTAATAAGTGATTTAGAACTGAAAAAGAGCTGGGGAATGTTTGGGAGTTGCAAGAGAATAGAAAAATATATATATATACATATATTATTTAGTTTTATTTTTAAAATTTTAATTACAGAAAGTATAGTTTATTATTATTTTTTAAAATTGTGATAATCCATGTTCAAATTACAAATGTAAAATTTTCTATTAATGGTTAAATTATGAATCTTGAAATATTAAAGTGAGTTATATAAATTTAAATTAAATTATAAAGTATGATTTGTCTTTATATTAAATAAGTAAACCCTAAAAAAAGTAGTGTTCCTTTAGATCCTGGGACTAACAAATTGGATTGGTTTTTTTTTTTTTAATTACCCACATATAAATTATATATTTATTAAATATAAATTAATTAATAAAATTATATAATTAAACACAATATCAACTTTCCCAAAAAAAAAAAAAATTAATTTATAAGATTAAATTTATAAACTTCTTTGAAAAAAATTAGGAAAATATGATTTTTATTAATTTTATTTATGAAATTATTTATTTTGCCTCTTCTGTTAACTCAACGTCAAGCAGATGCTAATTAATGGTGTAATGCCAACCTTTGTCTCACCAGAAGAACTTCTACTCATCCCACCAACCAAAAATGAACCTGCCTACCCTTCTTTTCTTCTCCTCAAATCTCGTCTTCCCCATTATTTTAATTCTCTTCTCTTATCTCTCTCTCTCGATCCACTCAGTCTCTCTGGTTGTAATTTTGATAAACCCTCAGTTGCAGACTGACTCTCTGTTTGTACCATAGCTGAGGAAGATGACACCCAGAGGGCTAATCTCTGCTTTCTTTCTCCTCCTTGCATTGTACTGCGCCATAGACCCATTTAATCACAGTGCTATATCGGGTTTCCCCGATTTTGTGTCCTACAAAATCGACATGCCTGACTGGTCAATTGTGCCTAAAGAGAGAGACAGACAGAATCTGCTTCAGAGATCAGAAATCAGGTTTTTGAACCAAGTTCAAGGGCCTGAGAGTGTAGCATTTGATCCTCTTGGTCGTGGGCCTTACACTGGTGTTGCTGATGGAAGGATTCTTTTCTGGAACGGCGAGAAGTGGACTGATTTTGCCTGTACTTCCAGTAATAGGTATAATTGGTTTCTAATAATGGTGTTTGGGAGTTGGTATTTAGTTTGAGTGATAATGGGTGAATCTTATGAAATGGGTTTGTGGTCTTTAACGCTCCATGGTGGTTTTCTGTGATTTTCCACAATAAAATTGGGGTTTTGGTTATTGAATGAGTATTGGGATTTGTTCCAGAGGCGCTGAAACTTGGTCTTCCCTTGTTGAAAATTTTGAGCAGGATAATAATATATATATATATGTATATGTATATGTATATGTATGTATATATAGTGACTTATGCTTTGGTTGGGAATTGGATGACCGGTTTTTGGATATATTTGGTTGTGCTGTTAGACTTTTGAGCGATTTTAGATATGCTCATTGACATGTAATTACTTTTGTATATGGGGGCACCCCCTTGGTGCCATTTACTTAATATACGTACTCACCTTTTATTTCCAAAAAAAAAATAATACTGGGGTGCTGTTGTTTGTCTGGCTTTAGTGATTAGTGATGGAGATGAGTGGGGTTTAGGTCAAACGATGAAGCAGGGGAATATCATAAGGGTGGAAAGGATTTTTTGATTGGTAAAGGATGATGAATTCGTAATCTAAAGACCCAAAACAGAAGTTGGCATAGTGCTGTAGCATGTTAATTATCTGGATAAGTGAATAGAAGCATGGGGCTTTATAGATTGAAACTCAATGATTGTTGTTTGATCATGAATCTTGCCACTTCTAATCATCCGTTCACCAGACCCACGAGGGTTATACTGTAAACGATAGTTGAGGAGAACGAAAAATGCATTCAGATGACAATCAGATTGATTATTTCACTTTGTATAATGATTAATTCTCAACAAGTATTTCATGTTTTTCTGTTTGGTGTCATTTTATTGTAAATAAAAATAAAAGCTGTCATGAAGATTGTAAATGAGTAATAGAAATTATTCCAATGGCAGTAGAATCCAGTAAAAATCTTTGCCAAACAGTTATTTAACTGCTTGCCTGAAAAAATTGATGTCTTTGTTTTGACTGATGCCCTGAGAAATTCTTTTACTAGTGGTTTTCTGTCCTAAAAATATCTATGTAATTTTCTTTTTCGTGTACAATTTATATTTCAGGTCAGAACTATGTGATCCAAAGCCATCTCCTTTCGGTTACCTGAAGAATGAACATATCTGTGGCAGGCCTTTGGGACTCCGATTTGACAAGAAATCAGGTGACTTATACATTGCAGATGCGTACCTTGGACTGATGAAGGTAGGGCCTGGAGGTGGGGTAGCAACATCACTTGTAACAGAGGCAGAAGGTGTGCCACTGAGGTTTACCAATGATCTAGACCTCGATGATGAAGGAAATGTCTACTTTACAGATAGCAGCACAAAATATCAGAGGAGGTAGGCTTCTGATTGTTTTTGTTTTCTTTTTCCTATTTCTTTTACATGCTGACAATATGTTGAATTTGTTTGGACCTATGATTTGGGCGATGTTCAGAAGCTGAGGGAACTTGCTCAGTTCGATAAGATCTGACAGTAACATAAAATTCCATGTCCTCATAATATGCCCTCACCTTATACTAGTCTTAGGTGGCCATATATCAGTTAGCCCCTTGTAAGTTTTTCTGGGGAGGGGAAAAAAAGGAGAAACTAATTTACCACTTGCCTCTTGGACTTTCTCTTTGTTGTTTTGGCGGTTTTTGCAGGGCAAACTCTGCAAATTTTTCTTGCGTCATTCTTCCTCCTTTTCACAAAAGACACAGCAACCATTGGTTCCAATTGAAGCCATCTGCTTGGAATTGTTGGGTGTATCATCTGAATGGCTTTTCTCACCATCTCCTTCTGACGTACACATATAAAGAAGAGTATTAAATAATTGAATTGAGTATCTAACATTAGCAAAGTTAAATAGCTCCTTTTTTTTTTTTTCTATCAATTGGGCTTTAAGAAAGAAAACCTTTGAAGAAAGAATCACCTACATTTTGGGTTAGCAAATAAAAGTTCCAAGATTTTGGAGGACACCAGATTATGTTTATGATTTTCTATAACGAGTTTGAATCTCCTTGCTCCTTCTGCTTTGATTTTTTCCACTGCTAAATATTGGATTCTCAGCCAAAATTTTCGCTCCTATTTCTTGATCTCTACCTGATTTTACTTGATTTGACATATTGCCTAAGATCAAAGGTTTTTAAACCATGTTCTTTTCTAATTCTTACAAAAATCTTTTGTACAAATTTATCATATTCTTTAGTGGGTTTAGAAGACCTCCGAGTTCCAAAAGAGTATAATTGTCAGATGCTGAGAGAAGTTGATGTAGGGAGAGATTGGGGATACCTTGGGGAATTGATCTCTCCCTATATCAGAAGTACTATTCAGTTTTTTATTCAATCACTTAGGTATTAGACAATTTATTGTCTTTTACCCTTTTTCCCTTTGTGAAATACTATACTATGGATGATCTACTAATCTTAACTCTTCTGATACTGTAACGTCTTCCAGGAACTTCCTACAGTTGGTTTTCTCTGGAGATGACAGTGGGAGAGTACTGAAGTATGATCCAAACACAAAGAAAACCACTGTCCTTGTAAGGAATCTTCAATTTCCAAATGGTGTGTCCCTAAGCAAGGATGGCTCTTTCTTGGTCTTTTGTGAAGGATCTATTGGCAGGTACAATTGTTTCTTTTACACGAAACTTGTTATAAGTTCCTCCATTTTTAGGGTCATTGGCCGATTATTTCTACCCTTCAACGTGAGGCATACGTAACTAAGATCTATTGTTCACTACTTTGATTTCCAATTGCGGCTTCGCCAATGTTTTTAACTTCAATAGACTCAGCATTTGAAATCAAGAAATAAAGACTCCTAGAGTTTGTCTTGACTCCTGACAAAAATAACTGCTGCTTTGGGTTTTTATATGAAATAATTGAATGTTGGAATGTGCAAATTTACATAATTGACATTTCTGAAAGTCCATTCTTTTGCAATAATTCTGTTCCATTGCTCTTTCTGATCATTACCTACTATCCCGGGACCATGTGCAAGATCCTCGGGGAAATTTTCGTAAATCATCTTTGAATAATTCAGCTTCTTGTTACTTTTTTCCTACAACTTCTATGGATGCAGGTTACGAAGGTATTGGTTGAAAGGTGAGAAAGCTGGAACTTCAGAAGTGTTTGCTATATTACATGGATTTCCCGACAATGTCCGAACAAAACGAAAAGGGTGAATTTTGGGTAGCAGTCCACTGTCATCGCAACCTGTACACTCACTTATGTGCTCGTTATCCAAAACTAAGAACATGGGTGCTTAAGTTACCGATATCAGCACAGATTCAATTTATGATTCACATCGGAGGCTGGCCTCACGGAATTGTAGTTAAATATAACGAGGAAGGAAAACTGATGCAGATCCTCGAGGATAGGCAAGGGAAGGTCGTGAAAGCGGTTAGCGAAGTAGAAGAGAGGGACGGGAAGCTGTGGATGGGAAGTGTTCTTATGCCCTTTGTTGCAGTTTATAACTTGGCTTGAGATGAAAAAAGGCTGTGTTTGTCTCTTCATCAATTCATGCTAGATATAAAGACTGTATCTCCATGTTCAAACAGCTACAGCTTAGCTTTTGTTAAGTTATGTTAGGTTATTTTTAGAACAAATTTTAGAAAATTTATGAGGAATTCATTGCAATTCCTTAAGTAATTTAATTAGTAGAAAATAAATTGTATTAAGACATAATAAATTTCACTTAGAATTGAAATAATATATTTTAATTTTTTATTAAATTTAATTAAATGTAAATTGTTTATTTTTACATGAGATTTTTGTTATTTTTAGTTTAATTTTTGTCTTTATATATAAATTATTGGTAAATTATATAAAATGAAAAAAGGTATATATATATATATATATTTATAAACTCACATGAAAGGAATGGAGCTTTGACTAAATAGTATAATTACTGATTAAAGTAGCAAACTAATTAACTATTATCTTAAATAATTTAATTACTAATTGAGATTAGTCCCAGCCTGCACATTATATCAACGGGCAAAAATGTAATACTCGCGTTCGAAAAATCAGTCCGGCATAAATTTTTAATTAATAAAATTATATATTTAAATAATTAAATCTTTATTTTTATTTAATTTTATGAAATTTTTTTAAAAAATAAAATTAAAGACAATATTAAAAATAATTCTAAAAAAATGAATAAAATTATAAATAAAAAGAGTATTTAAAAGAAAAAATTTTAAAATTATATTGCCATATATTCCGGCTGCGTCAGCAGTCACGATAAATTAGAACACGCTGTGTGATAAACACGCTGATATTGGTTCAACGTAGGAGACCATGTAGACAATCGAACGATACAAATCAGTAATTATTATATATATATTATAAATAATTTTTTATTAATGTATATTCCATTAATTATTATAATCTTATATACATATATATATATATTAAGATAACAAAAAAAATTAGACAATTTAATTTATTTCTTTTCATTTTCTTTGTTAACGCCATAATTTTCTTCTTATTTAATATTATAATTTTCTTCTTCTTTAATATCATAATTTTCTTCCTCTTTAATATACTAATTTATTTCTTTTTTTTTAATAGTATGATTCTATTCATCTTTAATAATATATACATGCATTTATTTTATTTTAAATATATACATACATATATATATATATAGATATTATAAAAACTGGGCCTTTATTTTGGAGGGTCAGACTGACCATAGACAGCTGTTGATTTTGATTTTACATGGGTAAATATTATTTTACCATTTAGGAGATTTTTTTCCTTGTTTGAATTGTAAAATCATAGCAAATAAAATATTAAACATTCTATAAATTGTCTAAATGGTAATTATTAATTTTTAAAAATATATAAATATGGTAAAAATTATATTTAAAATATAGGCAGATAATTTGGAAAATCACTTTTTGCTAACAAAAAAATTAAATGTATTTTATGTGAAATTAAACATGGTAATTATTAATTTTTTTAATAAATTTAGATATGGTAAAAAATAATATTTAAAATATTGGATTGGTATTTTTTCACTTTTTAGAAATAATTTAATTTGGAAAGTCAATTTTTGGTAAAACAAAAATTAAATTTATTTTATGTGAAATTAAACATGGTAATTATTAATTTTTTTAATAAATTTAAATATGGTAAAAAATAATATTTAAAATATTGGGTTGGTATTTTTTTCACTTTTTGGAAATAATCTAATTTGGAAAATCAATTTTTGGTAAAAATAATTAAATTTATTTTATGTGAAATTAAACATGGTAATTATTAATTTTTTTAATAAATTTAAATATGGTAAACAATAATATTTAAAATATTGGGTTGGTATTTTTTCACTTTTTGGAATTAATCTAATTTGGAAAATCAATTTTTGGTAAAAAAATTAAATTTATTTTGTGTGAAATTAAGGAAATTTAAATCATTATAAAATATAAACTTTTACTTCATGTTTTTGAATCACTTTGAAATTTAAGGAGAAGACATATACAAGTTTTGAGAAGAAATTGAAGGAAAAAAAAATGGCAAACACAAAAGTTGTTTCTTTTGTTTGCTTATATCTCCTTATTGTTTGCATAGGTAATTCTTCGCTTATCTATCTCTCTATATAATATATATATATATATATACATATATTATAATATCGATATATAAGTATGAGTTTTAAATATTTACATTCACCTTAGCTTATTTTTTTTGTGGGAAATTCTTTTTTCAAACAATCTTTTTATATGAACATGTTAAATTTAATCGGGTGGATCACCCGTTACGAAACCCGATCCAATTTTGATTAATAATTAAGAATGATTTTTTATCGATTGTTTTTATAAAATTTTGAATTTCTATAAGAAATATTTATGATGTGAATATTATACAGTTCGTTATTTGTTAATGTAATTATACATATTATTATATGTATTAATTTTGAGAAATTATATTTATTTGTGGGTTATATATTATTTCATAAATTTTTAAATAGATAATATTTAATTTCATTTTTTATAAATAAATTTTAGTTGTAGTAATATTTAATTAATAAAATACACAAATTCAAAAATTTGAAAATATATTTTTAAAAAAAATATATTTTCATTAAGTGCATTAATTATATATATATGGGATAAAACATAATACATAAAATTATAATTATTATATTTTATTTAACAATATATAATTTTATATTTTACAAATAGTATTTTTTTTTAGATACGCAAACGAGTATC